TCAGAGTTAAGTAGGGACTGTTAACGTATAGGGAAGTATGGTTAGAGTTATCAGACTGTTAACGTGGTAGGGAAGTATGGTGAGAGTTATCAGACTGTTAACGTGGTAGGGAAGTATGGTTAGAGTTATCAGACTGTTAACGTGGTAGGGAAGTATGGTGAGAGTAATCAGATTGTTAACGTGATAGGGAAGTATGGTGAGAGTTATCAGACTGTTAACGTGGTAGGGAGGTATGGTGAGAGTTATCAGACTGTTAACGTGGTAGGGAAGTATGGTGAGAGTTATATGGTTAGTGTTATTAGACTGTTAACGTGTTAGGGAAGTATGGTGAGAGTTATAAGACCGTAAACGTGGTAGGCAAGTATGGTTAGAGTTATCAGACTGTTAACGTGGTAGGGAAGTATGGTGAGAGTAATCAGACTGTTAACGTGGTAGAGAAGTATGGTGAGAGTTATCAGACTGTTAACGTGGTAGGTGAGAGTTATCAGACTGTTATGGTTAGAGTTATCAGACTGTTAACGTGGTAGGGAAGTATGGTGAGAGTTATCAGACTGTTAACGTGGTAGGGAAGTATGGTGAGAGTTATCAGACTGTTAACGTGGTAGGGAAGTATGGTTAGAGTTATCAGACTGTTAACGTGGTAGGGAAGTATGGTTAGAGTTATCAGACTGTTAACGTGGTAGGAAAGTATGGTTAGATTTATCAGACTGTTAACGTGGTAGGGAAGTATGGTGAGAGTTATAAGACTGTTAACGTGGTAGGGAGGTATGGTAAGAGTTATCAGACTGTTAACGTGGTAGGGAAGTATGGTTAGAGTTATCAGACTGTTAACGTGGTATGAAAGTATGGTTAGATTTATCAGACTGTTAACGTGGTAGGGAAGTATGGTGAGAGTTATCAGACTGTTAACGTGGTAGGGAAGTTTGGTGAGAGTAATCAGATTGTTAACGTGGTAGGGAAGTATGGTTAGAGTTACCAGACTGTTAACGTGGTAGGGAAGTATGGTTAGAGTTATCAGACTGTTAACGTGGTAGGGAGAGTATGGTGGTAGAGTTATCAGACTGTTAACGTGGTAGGGAAGTATGGTAGAGTTATCAGACTGTGGTATGGTGAGAGTTATCAGACTGTTAACGTGATAGGGAAGTATGGTGAGAGTTATCAGACTGTTAACGTGGTAGGGAAGTATGGTGAGAGTTATCAGACTGTTAACGTGATAGGGAAGTATGGTTAGAGTTATCAGACTGTTAACGTGGTAGGGAAGTATGGTTAGAGTTATCAGACTGTTAACGTGGTAGGGAAGTATGGTGAGAGTTATCAGACTGTTAACGTGGTAGGGAAGTATGGTGAGAGTTATTAGACTGTTAACGTGGTAGGGAAGTATGGTGAGAGTTATCAGACTGTTAACGTGGTAGGGAAGTATGGTTAGAGTTATTAGACTGTTAACGTGGTAGGGAAATATGGTGAGAGTTATTAGACTGTTAACGTGGTAGAGAAGTATGGTGAGAGTTATAAGACTGTTAACGTGGTAGGGAAGTATGGTTAGAGTTATCAGACTGTTAACGTGGTAGGGAAGTATGGTGAGAGTTATCAGACTGTTAACGTGGTAGGGAAGTATGGTGAGAGTTATCAGACTGTTAACGTGGTAGGGAAGTATGGTGAGAGTTATCAGACTGTTAACGTGGTAGGGAAGTATGGTTAGAGTTATCAGACAGTTAACGTGGTAGGAAAGTATGGTGAGAGTTGTCAGACTGTTAACGTGGTAGGGAAGTATGGTTAGAGTTATCAGACTGTTAACGTGGTAGGGAAGTATGGTTAGAGTTATCAGACTGTTAACGTGGTAGGGAAGTATGGTTAGAGTTTTCAGACTGTTAACGTGGTAGGGAAGTAGAGTTATCAGACTGTTAACGTGGTAGGGAAGTAGAGTAATCAGATTGTTAACGTGGTAGGGAAGTATGGTGAGAGTTATCAGACTGTTAACGTGGTAGGGAAGTATGGTTAGAGTTATCAGACTGTTAACGTGGTAGGGAAGTATGGTGAGAGTTATCAGACTGTTAACGTGGTAGGGAAGTATGGTGAGAGTTATCAGACTGTTAACTTGGTAGGGAAGTATGGTGAAAGTTATCAGACTGTTAACGTGATAGGGAAGTATGGTGAGAGTTATCAGACTGTTAACGTGGTAGGGAAGTATTGTGAGAGTTATCAGACTGTTAACGTGGTAGGGAAGTATGGTTAGAGTTATCAGACTGTTAACGTGGTAGGGAAGTATGGTGAGAGTTATCAGACTGTTAACGTGGTAGGGAAGTATGGTTAGAGTTATCAGACTGTTAACGTGGTAGGGAAGTATGGTGAGAGTTATCAGACTGTTAACGTGGTAGAGAAGTATGGTGAGAGTTACCAGATTGTTTACGTGGTAGGGAAGTATGGTTAGAGTTATCACACTGTTAATGTGGTAGGGAAGTATGGTGAGAGTTATCAGACTGTTAACGTGGTAGGGAGGTATGGTAAGAGTTATCAGACTGTTAACGTGGTAGGGAAGTATGGTGAGAATTATCAGACTGTTTATGTGGTAGGGAAGTATGGTTAGAGTTATCAGACTGTTAACGTGGTAGGGAAGTATGGTGAGAGTTGCCAGACTGTTAATGTGTTAGGGAAGTATGGTTAGAGTAATCAGATTGCTAACGTGGTAGGGAAGTATGGTTAGAGTTATCAGACTGTTAACGTGGTAGGGAAGTATAGAGTTATCAGACTGTTAACGTGGTAGGGAAGTATGGTGAGAGTTATCAGACTGTTAACGTGGTAGGGAAGTATGGTTAGAGTTATCAGACTGTTAACGTGGTAGGGAAGTATGGTTAGAGTTATCAGACTGTTAACGTGGTAGGGAAGTATGGTGAGAGTTATCAGACTGTTAACGTGGTAGGGAAGTATGGTTAGAGTTATCAGACTGTTAACGTGGTAGGGAGGTATGGTAAGAGTTATCAGACTGTTAACGTGGTAGGGAAGTATGGTTAGAGTTATCAGACTGTTAACGTGGTGGTTAGAGTTATCAGACTGTTAACGTGGTAGGGAAGTATGGTTAGAGTTATCAGACTGTTAACGTGGTAGGGAGGTATGGTAAGAGTTATCAGACTGTTAACGTGGTAGGGAAGTATGGTTAGAGTTATCAGACTGTTAACGTGGTAGGGAAGTATGGTGAGAGTTATCAGACTGTTAACGTGTTAGGGAAGTATAGTTAGAGTAATCTGTTAACGTGGTAAGGAAGTATGGTTAGAGTTATCAGACTGTTAACGTGGTAGGGAAGTATGGTGAGAGTTATTAGACTGTTAACGTGGTAGGGAAGTATGGTTAGAGTTATCAGACTGTTAACGTGGTAGGGAAGTATGGTTAGAGTTATCACACTGTTAATGTGGTAGGGAAGTATGGTATAGACTGTTAATCAGACTGTTAACTGTGGTAGGAAAGTATGGTGAGAGTTATCAGACTGTTAACGTGGTAGGGAAGTATGGTGAGAGTTATCAGACTGTTAACGTGGTAGGGAAGTATGGTTAGAGTTATCAGACTGTTAACGTGTTAGGGAAGTATGGTGAGAGTTATCAGACTGTTAACGTGGTAGGGAAGTATGGTTAGAGTTATCAGACTGTTAACGTGGTAGGGCGTATGGTGATAGTTATCAGACTGTTAACGTGGTAGGGAGAGTTATCAGACTGTTAACGTGGTAGGAAGTAGAGTAATCAGATTGTTAACGTGGTAGGGAAGTATGGTGAGAGTTATCAGACTGTTAACGTGGTAGGGAAGTATGGTGAGAGTTATTAGACTGTTAACGTGGTAGGGAAGTATGGTTAGAGTTATAAGACTGTTAACGTGGTAGGAGAAGTATGGTTAGAGTTATCAGACTGTTAACGTGGTAGGGAAGTATGGTGAGAGTTATCAGACTGTTAACGTGGTAGGGAAGTATGGTGAGAGTAATCAGATTGTTAACGTGGTAGGGAAGTATGGTTAGAGTTATCAGACTGTTAACGTGGTAGAGAAGTATGGTGAGAGTTGTCAGACTGTTAACGTGGTAGGGAAGTATGGTTAGAGTATCAGGCTGTTAACATATTGTGGTAGTCTCAAAAGATATACAAAAATTGTTTGATCGTGGTCCGAGTGAACATTACACAACATAGACGAAGATAGATAACTCCCAACAAATTTGTAAAATTCTGGAATTCTGTTCAGTCCCCTGTCTATCAACAGTGCTTACAGCTTTTTTGTGAATCAATAATGTGATGTTTTCGGTAGTTATAGTTAGATAGAAGTAGATAAAACACAGACAATCAGTGCATTATTACATTGTATATACAGATGTACACAGTACACAAAACATTAAGCAACAACAAACATTCAATGTTTGAAGTATATGGCTTCCGGTTGATAAAAAAATACATATACATAGGATTTTAAAATTTTAGGAAAAAAAAAAGAAATTAGCAATATTATAACAAAGGTATATTACAAGGCAATCCGGTGATAAATATATACACAAGCACCTGCGTGTAACGAACAAACGTCCCAAACACAACAAAATATTCAGGATTTGAAATTATTTGTTACATGATGTTCTTACTAAACCCATAAATCTGAATGCAGATCCTACTTTAATTTATCGTTAATGCTTTCGTCCAATTATACATGTACGAAAAAGTCCAAATGATATTTATCTTCAGAAGTAAAAGATAAAACATGTATAGAAATAAACATACCCTGGGTGTTCATTAAAAATATCTTAGCAGGCAATACTTGTTCTGCATCAGTGACGTTTAACATAGAGTGTATTATACGTTCCTGTTTTCATTCACCTCGAATATGCCTATTCACAAGAGTTTTTTTTTTTTTTCCAGTAACGGATAAACAACCAAAGTATGATTGATGGATGATAAGAAAGGAACCCCCTCTGTGGGACAATAAATTTTTTTCATGACACCTTTTTTGCCCCGTTGTTCTATTGTTTGATGTCATCCTGCTCAGCATTTTCTTGTCAGATGTCTCCTGCTGCTGTGATGATGATGTCCGGCTTTCTTCGGTTGTGATCGGTTATCGGCAAGTTTCGTAGGTTTTTCTTCGTAAAAATAATCAGCCAACCACTCAGCAAGGTCGAAACTGAAGAACGGTGGAACATTTAACTCGTTTTTCTTGGTTTGTTTCTTTTTTGTTTTCTTTTTCTTAGCCTCGCTGTTTTCCTTAGTTGCCCCCAGTTCCTCTTCTTCTACCTCATCCTCCTGACCCTCCTCCAATCCCATGCCGATCATACCTCCTCGTCCCCCAGTCATAGTACTCAGTTGTTGGCGGAATTGCTAAAAGATTGAACAAATATTGATGGTCAGAATTTTGTGACGTGAGAAAACTAGAGTAATTATATGTAGATAGCATTTTGAATGTCCTTCTGTGAGGTAGACGGACAACCCTGCGGACACTTCAGCACGACGATAGGGTTGTTTGATGTCTTTCCAGTCTTCTAGCTTGTCATTCAATTAGCAGTCATCGAAACTGATGAATGAAATAAGGAAAGATCGCTAGATATTCCACATACCTCTTGGACTTTCGGATCGAATAGTGACTGGCTTAGAATCTTTGGGAACAACAGCAAAATCATCAACGGCAGCAACACGGTCACCACCTGAAACAGTGACGTCACCTTTCATTACACTCAGCAAATTTATCTGGAACAGTGACGTCATTTTTCATTACACTCAGCAAATTTACCTGAAACAGTGACGTCACCTTTCATTACACTCAGCAAATTTACCTGGAACTGTGACGTCATCTTTCATTACATTCAACAAATTCATCTGGAACAGTGACGTCGTCTTTCATTACACTCAGCAAATTTACCTGGAACGGTGACGTCATCTTTCATTACACTAAGCAAATTTACCTGGAACAGTGACGTCATCTTAAATAACACATACAGTACTCAGTACTTCTGTGACAGATTACAAACTAGACGCGGAATAATGACGTTAACATAGTGTACATCACAATTATTATATGTGACAGTTTTGCGGTCTTAACGCTGATGACGTCATCCTCCATCAAACTCAATAAACGTGGAATAATTACGTCACCTCATTATTGTAGTTTGCCTATTGGTTCCGTTGTTGTAAACCTTATTCTCATTTAAGAACGTGACCAACAGGTTAACATGGCGGATATCGTTGATGAAACACAAGACGCTTACTCTTCCGGAACACCTGGTTTTACTATCCTTATTCTTTTTTAGGAGTATCCATGTTAATGTTCCTTTTGTTCCAATTTTCCTAGGTGCATCGAATTTGAAATATATTAAGATATTTAGTATTTTCTTGCTTTTCTTTTTTCTTCACAATTTACAGAATATTGAAATTTTGTGTGTAGACAGAAACATTTCAACTTGAGGGAGAGGGATTTGCCATTTTTTTCTATTGCATTTTCTGATTGTTGTGAAAATGAGATGAATTGAACACATTGCGCAATTATATTTATAAAAATGGCGTCATCATTTTATGTCGCGTAATATTGTGTATATTCATGTCAGTGTGAGTACGAGTATTATCCTTTTTCTTCTTATCTTAAGGCATGGAGTAACCCTTTCAGGTTACATGTACCACATCATACCCAACAAAGAGTACACCAAAATGTCAACAGAATCCTACTCCAAACTGAAATCCCATATATAAAAAAACCCACACGGAGACACCTGAAAAAGTAAACGGAGAATAAGAACAGGTGTTACGAAAGGGTAACTGTTTTCTGCTTCATCGACGACATCCAATCCAAGTAATGTCACGTTCCCTGTGAAAATATGTAAACTACGACCAAACCAATAGGTACAATGTATGCTTACGAGTATCAAACACATCTAACTTCCTATCGCATAAGAAAGCAGAATAATTTTCCGTGAGATCAGCATGACGACCGTAAACGGCTTTCATCAGCCTGCATCTCTCGAAACCCCGCGTTGTAAGTAAGTCGGTCAGTTGCCGACATCTTTCCTGGAAATCGTGATTTTGAGAAGAAACTCTTGCATATAGAATCAACTGAGACATGTAAACAGAAAAGGTTGGGGATGCAGGGTGTTGCTCTCCAGAAACGGAAAATTTACAGTGTGGAAATTGAAATCATCCTGCTTATTAATCGGCTTGGTAAAACGCTGTTCCTGTACATTGCGTTGTATGAAACGATAGAGGGTAGCGGCTGATGTAGAAGAGTTTGTTATGTCCTTAGAATGTTAGCGCGTGAAGAGTTGTGTTACTTACGAAACAAGTAGATAATGTTAACAGAACACTTACCATCGGGTTGTTTATAATGTCGTCCAGTTTCAGCGAACTCCTCTCCTGGAAGAAGCGCGACTTGTTAACCATTCGGAACACCAGTGGGTACTCAATCTGACGGATATGGTTGGGTTGAACATAGTCCACCTTACTTGCCCGCTTTCTTCCATCGCGATAGATGTAGACACGGGCCGAGCAGAACTCGTACAGGGAGTGCGTCACTTCAACTACATATATTCCATTGGGCAACCCATTGACCGTGAATTTCCCATCTGTTCTAAAACAGGACATTAGATGAACAAATAAAATTTCGGATTTAATCTTATTCAATTTCTATATTCATAGGAACACAAATATAAAAGAGGTGCTTGTGACATCGAAGATGTAGATGGCGCTGAGTGGTGATGTCCTGGCGGTGAATTTGTTGATGGCACTGAGCTGTGGTGATTGTGACAATGAAGTATAGATGGCGCTGAAAGCGGGTGATTATGTAAAGCTTCTTCGGTTCACAATACTCAGGCTTATTATCTCTACCGATTTATATATATCTATGTCTGAATGTTGTAATACATACTTTATACGATTATATATTATCACAACCAAGGAGGTATTTATATAACATTTTTACATGTTATTGTATATTTCATATACAATGTATGTTAAATGATAAACAACAAGTATATATTCTATGTACATTATATATATATATTGTTACTAACTAGGAGTTTATACATAAAACCAATACAGAGTTATAAATCGAGAACAGTAGTGTTAGTTTAGGTGTCTTTAGATTTATAACTTTATATTTGTTTTATATTCTATGTATGTGATGTAATCTATATAATATTTGTGTCTAGATATAGTAGCAGCTTGCCTCGAAAATTTAACAATCCGCTTGTCCGTACTGTAGCTATCACTTCATTGATCATATATCTATCCCAGTAATACACATCCAACGAACATGTTTGTTAGAATCCAGTACCAATATTGGACCATGCCAACGATATTACTTACTAGATTCTATATATAGAAGATCCAGTACCAATATTGGACCATACCGTCGATATTACTTACTAGATTATATATATAGAAGATCCAGTACCAATATTGGACCATACCGTCGATATTACTTACTAGATTCTATATATAGAAGATCCAGTACCAATATTGGACCATACCGTCGATATTACTTACTAGTACAGATATATAACTGATTTACGTATTACGTAAGTCAGTTACATATATACGTACGTAATATTGTAGCTGTTTACGTACAGAATGCATAATTTAGGAATCAGATTAAGGAAAAATATTTAAAGTATTTTTTCTCAACAAACATGTTTATGGTTGACTGATTTTTGTTTATCATATGTAAAGTAAACAAGGATATCGTAAGATATTATAGACGTCACGCAACTATTCCCAGGCTATTACGGAATGATTATACCATAGAAGTAGTCCTATGTGGTCTGGCCCACTTGTATAAAACATCTCAACTTGAGATTTCCTCAAGCCCAGATTTTCCTCAGCTAATATCTCCTTGAAAATATCTTGTATGAAAATTCCTCAAGGAATTTCAGGACATCCTAGCCGATGCCTTCCTCCTGTTCCTTGAGAAGATTTTATACAAGCCGTTTTTGAGGAGATATCAGCTGAGGAAAATCTCGACTTGAGGAAATCTCAAGTTGAGATGTTTTATACAAGTGGGGCCTTGTGGCATACTACAGCAAAACAATCTTTCACGTGATCGAACAACGTTTGGTGATCATAACCTGTACTTTATAATAGTACACATGTATCCATGTAAAGCATGGTACGTTGTGTTTCTATATTTATCTATTTATTTATTTGATTATAACCCATTTCACACAACACATGAACATGTATACCATTTACGGTACGAACCATTTCATACTGTAAATGGTTTATAAATTAATGTATACCTGTGTAAAACGACAAACCGCGTGACACCTACCATTTCTACATTTCTGCATACCTATACACCTGTGTATAACGACAAATCATGTGACATCTATTATTTGTATAATCATACATACCTGTGTAGCACAGATCAGTGGACTCATTATATATTCATATTGATTACGACAGACATGCAATTCAACTCGAGTGAATCCACCGTGATTTTTATCAACAATTCTGTTTGGAATTACCTGTGGGCTTTGCCAAATTGTACAAAACAAACTACCTTTCGTGGCATTAAATTACATTGCTTTGGATACAGAACGTTAAATGTCGTTTTGGGAATTTGTCCGATGTATGTTTATTCCAGAAACAGGAAAGGATATGAGATATTCTTTTAGCGTTACAGGTAAACAACACCGTATAAGCAGGACTTATGATCGATAAAAACGGCGATGTTTATCTTTGAAACATTTATTATTTATTATTATTATTAGTTATTACATCTAAAATTATGATTTACCATCTAATCATTGTAAGACCCAGATTTGTTTGTACACCTCGCGCTACCCCGAGTCTAGACGGGCTGGATTTTAGCTTACCTTATAAACCCTTGGTATTTGCCGCCGTTCACTAGAACTCGTGTCTTCGATATCCAGGAAGAGTCATTCGCAGACAATAGTTCGACCTTCCCTTCCAAGGAAAACAGCTTCTTCTGTTCCCCGTCAGAGCGTGTCCCACCAACAGTCACTACAGCCAGGAGGATCAACACCCATGGTACATGATCGCCCATTATAAGGTCGGTAGTACACTAGATATATAGACAGGTCAACTTTTAAAGTTACACCAAACCTCGAGTCATTAAAAAACTAATGAAGCGACAAGATATCCAGATCAATGTGTAGAGACAAAACGGTAATGTACCTAGTTGTTGATATATGCCGATCTTTAATTTTTGTACAGACCTATCAGAACAGGTCAAAGTCAGATCTAGCTATACCATTCGTCAACAATAATAGAAACACGTCATTGGGAATACCCTAGCTATATACCATACTGATATTTTTTATATTTTTCTATCTCGCCTAAAAATCAAATAAAACCTTTTTATTTTAAATCTATTTCAATCATAATCTATAAGTACATGTATTTTGTAAGTTTTCCTTTTTCCTATAAAATAACTAACTTTATTATTGTAAAGAGTTCTGACATCTGCCACTTAGCTATATATGTACGTAATAGTTCAAATTAATGCAATGCCCAAATTAAGTATCACCTATACCAAGCCACATTATTTGAAGGCTAAAAAGGTCTCGCAAACAAGATTTACTTTCTTACAGTCCAGTCACTTGTTCACTGCGGCCAGTCTATGTGATCTTGTTAATCCCAGCTGTCATACCTATTAAGAACCCAGGTATAGGCTTTATTCAATCGTTCGTCCTTTGTTAAAGAATTATCGGCCGTGTCACAGTCAATTAGGACTCAGGTAGGCTTATGTAACAAACCTGCTAGAAAGATGTTTTTCACTTTTTTCTTTGTCCGAACCCACGTATGTCTTGACCAATCAATTTGAAAGGTTCCAAGATCTGACCAATCAAATTCATGGAGACTCCTGAGTAAGTTTGGTAGTATCGCGTCACACTGGTCACTTGAAGCCGTGACGCCAATAAAGAATAACGAACTTAACAGGCTGTCTCCATAATCTTTTCAGATTCCAACAAAAACAAAAATAACCTTTCAACCACACAAAAACAACGTTAAATATACCTTAACAATTATTTGAAAGTCAGAACAGGTCAAAGTCAGATCTAGCTATACCATTCGTCAACAATAATAATAACACGTCACTGGGAATACCCTAGCTATACCATTCGTCAACAATAATAGAAACACGTCACTGGGAATACCCTAGCTATACCATTCGTCAACAATAATAGAAACACGTCACTGGGAATACCCTAGCTATACCATTCGTCAACAATAATAGAAACACGTCACTGGGAATACCCTAGCTATACCATTCGTCAACAATAATAATAACACGTCACTGGGAATACCCTAGCTATACCATTCGTCAACAATAATAATAACACGTCACTGGGAATACCCTAGCTATACCATTCGTCAACAATAATAGAAACACGTCACTGGGAATACCCTAGCTATACCATTCGTCAACAATAATAGAAACACGTCACTGGGAATACCCTAGCTATACCATTCGTCAACAATAATAATAACACGTCACTGGGAATACCCTAGCTATACCATTCGTCAACAATAATAGAAACACGTCACTGGGAATACCCTAGCTATACCATTCGTCAACAATAATAGAAACACGTCACTGGGAATACCCTAGCTATACCATTCGTCAACAATAATAGAAACACGTCACTGGGAATACCCTAGCTATACCATTCGTCAACAATAATAGAAACACGTCACTGGGAATACCCTAGCTATACCATTCGTCAACAATAATAGAAACACGTCACTGGGAATACCCTAGCTATACCATTCGTCAACAATAATAGAAACACGTCACTGGGAATACCCTAGCGATACCTTAACAATTATTTGAAAGTCTAATTATTAGGGCTTTATTCTTCTTTTTCTTCTTCCGTATTTTGTGGAGTCTCTATCTGAGATGAGTGAAAGAAAGGTTGATAGTTTTGTTAGTATGTTTTTAATGAAGGTCTGAATGTGCTACAGGAACATTTTCAAATAGGTGAAACATCCAATATGGCCGCCATGACGTCATAAACTTAAAACATTAAAACTGCTGTAACTTAAAAACCATTCATTGCAGAGAGTTTGTGCAATTTTGAAAATTCCCTTTGATCTTTTGAAATGCCGACAAAAAGTTTGAACTTGAATTATTCCAAAATCTTTTATAAATATCTGATTAAATTGGTCGGGAAAAGTTTCCCATATTCATTTTAGTAATTGGTGAGATTCTGAACCATGTTGAAAAAATGGCCGCCATGACGTCATTTCCGATTTTAGCTTAGTGTCAGTATCTCATGAACGGCTCCGTGTACTGAATTCAACTTTGGATATGTGATGTACAATTAGATATAAATAACATTTCTCATGAAACTTTTTTCTATAAAACGACAACTTCCGGTTACCGGTAGGGTCAAATTTCAAAAGTGCCTAAGGTCATAATATTTGGTCCAAGTCATACTCAAGTGGTGGGAAATTAGGTTTGTTAATATGTACGACCTTGACTTATGTTCAAGGTCACTGGGGTCAATTATGTTAAATTTATCAAAATAGTGTAGGGCTCTCATATTTGCTATGTAGCAGGATTGGATAAAGTGCTACCAAACCGGACAAAAAATATACCGTCATACGTCAACTTCCGGTTCAATTTTGTGACATAAAATTTTAAAATCTTCTTAAAAACCAAAAGGCCTAAGGTCATGATATTTGGTCAATATCATACTCAAGTAGTGGAAAATAACGTTTGTTAATATGAACGAACTTAATCCATGTTCAAGGTCACAAGGGTCAAATATATTTGAACCTTAAAAATTGTTTAATCTATTTTGATGTAGTTATACTGCCTTAACGTTTTAACCAAGAAGGTTCGTCTTTGGATATGTTATAGATATTAACAAACGAATTAACTTTCTCATATGTTGTTATCAGGAAAAATGTTAACTTCCGGTTTCCGTAAGGGTTCAAATATATAGATAGGGTACCAATGTTCAACAATATTCTTGACAAGTTCCACAAGGTCTAGAGAAATAATATTTGGTATATATTGATCATCAGATGTTACATTATAAAGCTTGCAAATATGAATAACCTTGACCGACATTCAAGGTCACATGGGTTAAATATGTTTGAACCTTTAAAAAGTGCATTTCTTCGTTATTATGTAGTTATATCTCCTTAACGTTTCAAGATACAAAGTTCATCTTTGGATATGTTGTAGAGATTAACAAACAAAGAAACTTTCTCATACATTGTTATCAGGAAAAATGTCAACTTCCGGTTTCCGTAGAGGGTCAAAGTTGAAATCATTGTTTAAATGTACAATATAGGGTACCAGTATTTAACAATCTTCTTCTTAAGTTCCACAAGGTGTAGAGCACTAGTATTTAGTATATACTGATCTACAGGTGTTGTTTTATAAGACTTGCAATTATGAATAACCTTGACTAACATTCAAGGTCACAGGTGTAAAATGTATACGAGATCTTCAAACATCTTTGATCAAACAAAAAGCAAGGGGGAACTGATATTAGGCTTGTAGCATGCTGGGATGAAGGACTATCATTTTTGTCTGAAGAGTTATTTTCTAAGATGGCTGCCATGACCGCCATTTTGAAAATGGATGTTTTTGAACTGCTCCGGTCAGCTTGTGGAATTCTGTTAAGGTTTGCCGTAAATGAAGCTGTGATTAACTTAAACTAGTGCTGTTTTTTTCGGGGAGACTGTCCGATATACAAGATTGTCGCCAAAGAAGTGAAAAGTCCGCAAAATTGTTAGCAACAATTTCTAGTTGTTGTTGGATATTTGCCATCAGTATCTCATACAGATTAGAAGTGATCTACCATAACCGTAGACGGTGGCTGTATACTAGGACATGGCTAGGACTCCTGTGGCGCCTCACAGTCACAGACAGGACTCTTGTGACGCCTCACAGTCACAGGCAGGACTCTTGTGACGCCTCACAGTCACAGACAGGACTCTTGTGACGTCTCAAAGTCACAGGCCGGACTCTTGTGGCGCCTCACAGTCACAGGCAGGACTCTTGTGGCGCCTCACAGTCACAGGCATAACTCTTGTGACGTCTCAAAGTCACCGGAAGGACTCTTGTGGCGCCTCACAGTCACAGGAAGGACTCTTGTGGCGCCTCACAGTCACGGGCAGGACTCTTGTGGCGCCTCACAGTAATTCTCGTGATGTCCATCTATTATAGTCGGAACTCTTATGTTTTCTAGTAAAAGACGAAACTTCTGTGATGTCTACCAGTCACAAGCGAAACATTTGTGATGTCTACCAGTCACAGGCGAAACTTTTATTATGTCTACCAGTCACAGGGAAACATTTGTGGTGTGTACCAGTCACGGGCGGAACTTTCGAGACCTAACAGTCATAGACGGAAAGCTTATGGCGTAACAGTACGAATAACAAGCTTTACCCATCAAACAACGGGGACAACAGGATCCGACTGAAGGCGGCGTCGGTAAGTATACATCATGATCTCTCAATACTTTCAGTACATAATGTGATAGCCTTCCATAAACCTGATGGCAGGTCTATAACTAGGACTGACACCAGGTTTTGAGAAGTAGAGTTTACAATAAGGATATAGTGATGTGTACAATTAGGATATAGTGATGTGTATATAAGGATATAGTGATGTGTACAATAAGGATATAGTGATGTGTACAATAAGGATATAGTGATGTGTACAATAAGGTTATAGTGATGTGTATATAAGGATATAGTGATGTGTACAATAAGGATATAGTGATGTGTACAATAAGGATATAGTGATGTGTATATAAGGATATAGTGATGTGTACAATAAGGTTATAGTGATGTGTATATAAGGATATAGTGATGTGTATATCAGGATATAGTGATGTGTACAATAAGGTTATAGTGATGTGTACAATAAGGTTATAGTGATGTGTATATAAGGATATAGTGATGTGTACAATAAGGATATACAATAAGGATATATAGTGATGTGTACAATAAGGATATAATGATGTGTACAAGAAGGATATAATGATGTATACAATAAGGATATAGTGCCTAAACTTCAAATGGTTTAGGGTAAGAGCCGTATTCCTTTGGATCCTGTGGTAGTTACTTGGAAATAAATTATTTACATATAGACCATAATAGACAAGTGATTTGAAAAAGTCTATCTGGGCACCATCTGATAATGATGACTAAAATAATGAGAGAAAAACTAAAGAAAATCAATATTTGTCATTTATTTACAATAAAAACAACAATATAATCTTTTGAACACTTCTAGGAGATCAATTAAAAAAGGGTCCAACCTTCCATTCTCTGGGTCTTAAAAAGATCAAGAAATTACCAAACTCCACATTACTTCTCTAATTTGAACTGTGATACTGTCAGTATGTAACAGAGGTCATCATTTGTTTCAATGCCTCCACTAGGATTTTAACTTTGACCTCTGACTTACTGGTCTGGTGCTCAACCTATACCTCTTTTGACAATCAACCAACAAAAATGGTATTTGATATTTCCAATTATAAATTACACAAAATCCTTATTACACTTTTTTATTTGTCTTTCCTCTCTTTACATGATCTGTTAACAGACCGCCTATGACTTACTATACACTGAGTAAGTAATGAACTCAGTACATAAGACTCTGAATTCATAACAAAATCACAACTTTGAAACGAAAACCTTGGTTATTGAATATCTGTACAGTGAAGCATAAAAACACTTTCAATTAAAATAGTGATGTGAATGCTATCAAATTTTGTTCATGAGTAAATTCTACCGGGTACTCCTTTCTCAACATACCAATGTTTGAAAAAAAAAAGATCCCAACAGTTATTTCTGGGGTCAATGAATACTATGAAGTTGTTCTATTTTATGCAAATAGCTTTCAAAATAAATCCTGTTTCTCTTTCAAAGAAGAACAATTGTAATAAGTTAATTATCTACGACATCCTGTTAACCACAATATGTAAGTACATTTTTACCTAAATGACTAAAAGTTTCTTTATGAGCTAATCATGAGTACACAATTAGCCTGGAAATGGGTGTTTAATAATGTAGAACACCTGCAAAGTATTTTCTTTTATTTTGCCCAAAACACAAAAAGAACCTGACAGCTGGACTGTCAACCTACTTCCAGGAGGAACTGTTGAATCTGTTCAATCACTGCCACTTCTACACGCATGTCATACACACAAAGACGTCAACCAACGATGAAATGTTTAATAGTTCTAGTCCTCTTGATGTATTAAAGCAATACTTCAATGTTCTCTGTGAAAGATCTATTTTACAAAAGCAGCTTACGAGAGTTTGCCACATATCTTTCTAGTGGTAACACTCCACACCTCTGTCCACACAGAAAGGCATCAGTTAAAATCTCAAAACCGGGAAATATGCTATACTTATATATAACACAAAATCAATTCAAGTGCATTTGGTTTGTAACACACAGGTTTGTACATAATATACATGACTTACTCAACAATGAAGGTTTTGTATGTACATGGAATAAATTATGATCTAATTCACAAATAGTGTACAAATAAATTTCACTTACCATCAACAACTGCCACATCACATAAAACAGTGATCAATTTACAGTGAATTTTCATGAGTACTTTTCAGTTTAATGCTAAAATCAACAGATCCAAAAAGTAACATTTAAGGGTCTTCAGAAATTTGTTAAGTCCCATCAAAATTGTATGAGTACAAGACTCATGACTTCCCTGTAGATTTATCACTGAATATACTTGTATCTAAAAGTCCCTGTATACATCACACCCTATCAGGCTAGTAGTGTTCAGTTATCTGGATAAAATGTAGGGAAGCCAGTTGAATCCTTATATGTTATTGTCACACCATTAGGATTGTTCTTGCTAAGCATTGGTCTGCCTAAGTAAACAGGGATGATTATAAACTTTTCGTCGTCTATGATTAATGAAATAAAACATTTTTACAAATAATCAAACAACAATAGACATAGGTGTGTTGTGTATACTTGTAAACTTCCTTTTTTATCAGCCAGACCTAACATAGTTTATAGTTTATATTTGAAAACACATCACAAAGACAAAAGATAGAGGTTCAATGGGCTTCTTAGGACCTTTTTTGAGTAAGACAGGGCAGTATCATCATTCATATATATATATATATATAGTTATCTGGTCTTGTAAAAGTAATTTGTGATGTTTCCCACAAAATAATTCATTCTTTTCCTTCAGCTAAGAAAAATTTTCTAAAACTGCCATAATAGAAATTAAAAGTATATGAAAAAATTTACATTGAAAAACCCAGCATAAAACAAAAATTATTGCCCTAAATGCCCAATACTGATTTTGAATATGAGAATACAGCCCACAAAGAAGAGAGAGAGAGTTACTAATTATGACCAACAAGTTTGAAAACCTAATTCTAGATAAGTGTACGGAATAGAAAAAAATAACCAACTGCTTTGATTTATTGGTAATCTAGAAGACTTAAAAGTACTGGAATCCTAATAATGAAAACATAATCTTCCACTTTGTCAAGATCTTCGTTTCACTGCTTTGCTTTTGGATGTTTTCTTGTTATCATTGCCACCAAGCCACCCTGCTAATATCTCTGATATATCAGGCATACTGGACTTGTCATTCAAAGCTTTCATCTGATTCTGCATTTCCTGTACAAAAATAGATCACACACAAACGTATACTGGGGAGCGTTCCTACACCATACACATTCACATGTTTATATACATTATGTATACAGGAGCTAATGGTCAGGTAAAATGCTACACATTATATAGCCGTAATTACACAAGTATTTCCATTCCATGGAGGACCTTTCTGAGATGGATACTGACACCTTTTGATAGCTTTTAACTTTCATGAATTGAATCAATATTTGTCTGATTTCTCATAGTTATTTATTATCAACATCAACATCAAATTCTTTTACTAAATCTGTGTCCTGTGAAAATCACTTAGATAATTATATTCATAGAATACTGTGTAAACATGACAAACGCCTTTGAAGGTAGTGTGTTTATAGAATATACAGTTACCTTTTGTGCCCCTGGGTCAGCTGCATTCATCATCTTTGGTAAGACCATGATTAAAAACAGTGGTAGTACCATAGTTAGTACCTACAAAAGAAAACAAATGTATATTTCTCATCACTGACATGTATGTTATCACTGAATCTATCAAACCAATCTGAAAATGAAGAAACATTTAAGATGGTTTCTCTTGATTAATAAGTATTGAAATATGTTTAGAGTGATGGTCATATATACTACTTAATTATGAAGTTAATGTGTATCTTTAAAACATCAAATCAAAATAAAACTTTTTGATAAGTTCTGGCAGGAGACCATTTATTCATTTGCTGGCCGACACATTCCCTGTAGGGATTAATGAATTGTACTGTCAGCATACCATAGGGTTCATCAAGAAGTCTTGAAATCTCCACTGTTCTCTTGTTTGGAAATAATTTGCTTTCATTCTTTCCTTAATTTCTAATGGATACTGTATATTTTTCACTAGGGATGGCTGCAGGTAGTTGACTTTTCTGGCCCTCATTTTGCCTTTTGATGTAATATCAACTCTTGCTGCATCAAATATGAAATTTGGATGTGAAACTTCCACTACATAAGAACCTGATGGAACTCCATTGATAGTAAAGGAACCATCTGCCCTGTAAGTAAATGAAATGTTATAAAATCATCACAGAAACCATATTCCTGTATCAATCATTGTCTTTTTTCTGCACTACAAACACAACAAGTACTAATTGTAATGGGGACCATTACAAACGTCCCCCAAATGACCCCTTCAGCAGTAAATGATCACAATAATCAGACCTGCAGTCATGCCAAACATGGACTACGCCATTTTAGTGCCACCTAATACATATATGCCAATTTTCACGAAAATCGGACAATATCTAAAATTTGGCCAAATTTTGACCACAGCTGACCGCTCAGATGACCGATCGATGGCCGAATGAAAAATGGACTACGCCATATTGCTCCTAGTGCCACCTAATACATATATACCAATGTTCACAAAAATCGGACAATATCTAAAATTTGGCCAAATGGACTTCTTATGTCATTCCCCCCTCCCCATCCCCTATCTTCCTATTTCTGTTTTCATCGCTTTTTCTGTTTCTTTAATTGTAGAGAATGATTCAGTGAGAGAGAGCAATCTATGTATAATGTTAATTATTGATATTTCCTCTATGCTATCATTTAGTCTGGCTGTACTATGCTCTGTGTAATCTTTGACAACAAGGGCAGATAACAAAGAATCATCACCAGCTATTCACACCTCAATTATTTTTTCATGTTTTTTTTTTAACGTGAATTACACTTTGTTTCAAACAAGCAGAAGTTGCAACATGGAAAGGCTGTTATGTGGGGCGTATCTCGCTACTCCCAATCCATGCTTGCACTTCTGGTTTGGGATTACACTATTGAAAACATATAATTTTGAATAAAGTTTGGGGATTAGGTGTGAATAGATGATGATGAGGCAAAACACTAATAATAATAAACAGCTCTGTTGTTGATCAGTGTATGATGTGATAATGAGGATGAAAGGTTGATGATGAAGTGGTGATGATGATATGATGATTATAATGCTGAATATGTGTTACTGCTGATGATGATATGATAGTGATGATGATGATGACGATATGGTGATGATCATGATAATGAAGTGATGATGATACGATGATCATGATGGTAACTATGTGATGATGATGATGATGATGATGATGATGATGATGATGATGATGATGATGATGATGATGACAGCAGTCATTGAGTTTGTATTATTATTGGGGCGTGTGAATGAAACACAGTAGTACATTGTATGTCATGTCAGCAAAGAGGAAAGAGTAGGAAATAATGAGTGCATGTTTTGGGTGAGTGTACATGGGTGTAGTGTGATGTGTGCTAGGGTGTGTATGTGTATGTGAGTCTAGTATATATCGTGTGTTGCATACCTTTGTAAAATCTTGAAAAACAAAATAAAAAAAAAAAAAATTTTGACCACAGCTGACCGCTCAGATGACCGATTGGAAATATTTAAGTGGCCTGCACTCCGCCTCGAATGTATGAATATGTGTGTAAAGTTTTGTTAAATTCCATGCAATAGTTTTTGAGAAACGCGTCGGAAACCTCGCCGGCGGAAGAAAGTGGAAGAAATAATAATAATAAAAATAATAATAAGAAGAAAAGGAGCAAATACTATGTCACAGGACATATGTAGAAGTAGTGAATTTATGACTTCAGATGATGAAAATTGCAATAAAATACACATCCACTGAAAAGGAATATCATTCACATAGCACAAATCTGGCTAAATGTTTACATTGCATATTGGACAAATGAAAACAATCAAGTCAAACAAATCTCTTGTGGTTACTTCAAGTACACAAAAAAAAATGGCTAACAAAGTAGCTTTTGTCAACCAGGTGCATGTGTATCTTGTTGGTCAACATGAATGTGTAATAAACATATATACATTTCCCTTATATCTATCATTACAGACCTGACTGATATATTATCCCCTTCGTCACAATTGGGACATTTAAAGGTAAAGCAAAAGAGCTTGATGTGAATGACTAGAGAAGCCCAAAGAATGCTATACTTCTTAAAGATCTCCTTAATCAAAATGATAGACATGTCATATTGATGGTACATACAATAGCCATAAGATAGAATGGTCTTCAAAAAAACATGACACAAGAATTTATTTAGGGAATTTCATTATTAATCTCTAGATTGGTTTTCGTTTCTCAATATTACAAATGCACGGTGGAAAGTAGTTCCAATCTGTTATGTTAGAAAGAATGACTGTCTAACTTGTTTTTATATGGATATAATCAGTATCTTGTAAAATACCTTGTAGGCATTTTCTTTTTACGGATGTTGAACCTACTTTTAAATTCTTTCTAAGGAAGACTATGGGAGCTTTTGAAAAAATACAAAATTTAGAAATCATCGTCCGGTGAACAATTTTGATACCTTAACAATCCAACGTAATTTCCACCGTCAACCAACACCCGGGTTTGCATCATCCACTCCTTGTCTCTGTATGAGTTTAAGTCTACCTTCCCGTCGATTTTAAAAAGCCCATTTGACTCGAAATCAACTGATTCATCACATACAACGGAAAAAATAACATTTAAAGCAAAAACTAGTCCATACAACACGAAATAATTCAACTGGAAATCCATCTTCATCATGACCAAACCGGAAGTGGACGCGTAGGTTGATATACTAATAATCAGTCCGATAGAATCCGGAAAGTCAATACATTCGAAACGACATGTGCAAGATCTGTGTTTGTCGTTATGGTAACCATTCCTTACGAAAACTTGCAACATTTAGGCCTACCTGTGGTTGCACGGAAGTCTGCTGGCTTCGACTGTGAAAGAAAAACGTGTACAACAGAAAAAAACTTGTAACATTTTTTAAGAACGAAGATATGAGTCAGGCAGTGTATGAAAAAACATTGACATTAATGAAAATAATAAATATTTATTTGAAATCAGAGATCTTGAAAAACGGACTCAGCTGGTTCAGTAACATAAACGGGGTTGAGTTCTTTATTGGTAAAGGCACACTGTAATTGGTCAAGGCAAGTTTATTAGACTATCTTTTATTTCTTGTATATGCGAATGAATGATACGAAAATTAGTACTGACTCATGATCATCATGCACACTTTATCATACACTGATGATTGTGCTATCACCTTTTCTCATCAAAATCCGGATGCTATTTCCTCGTTGGGTTCCTCCGTTAAACTCTCCAAAGTTTGTGTAACCTGTCACGATTGGCTGATGGACAACATTGAAGTTAGTCTTACTCAGTCTTGAATGGTTCTCTTTTTGCCCAAAGTAGAAAATAAATCAATTCCATGAGGCAAATTTTTCGATATATTACTACCTACACAAAATTTGACCCCGAAATTCAGTTAAATATTATTTCAAAAGTTAATAAACGTTTTAAATTCTTGTATATATACTGTAAATATCATTCGTCTATCTCACGCAAAACTGTGTGCGCTGCTCATATTCAATGTCACTTGACATTGTCTAGGCCTGTTCTTCGTGGTTTGACGGTTTGTCTAAGAAAATTAAAGACAAACTACAACTTTCCTAAATGCTAACTAATGCGTCACTCAGGTCTAACCATTCTTTTATTATATCTAATGGTTTTAATGGAAACCCTATTTTTCACTGAAAACAACTCTAACTTCCAAAATAGGTCAAACCAAATCAATCTTTGTTTTTAAAAAAGGTACTGACTTATCAACTCACAAGGACTGGGGTTCTCTGTCCGACAAATTAAAAGTTTAAAAATGCCATCTTTATTTAAGAAATAAGTTAAATTTCACCTTATGTCAAAGGGAAAAAAAGTAGATTTTTAAAATCCATTTGCCTACTAAGTTTATTGGTCACTAACGATTTCCTACAGTTACTCAAAGCAAATTTTCAACTATAAACAAACGCTGCAACAACTGAATGTAGATGACCTTAGAACTAGTTCTCCGTCAGCCTGTTCTTGTTCAGTTCTAGTTATAACTATGGTCCTACTGGGCAGATAGTAACTGGTGGTTTAAGCATTATTCAAAATGTTAAGCTACGAGATATTTCATGGAGGATACTAAATATCGTGAAATCCCGTCCGTAACATGGAATATGAACTCAAGATACATTGTGCCTCTGGATTCTCTTGAAAACCACACCAAAGAATAGGTGAAAGGTACGCATGCTTTCTGAGTGTGTTAAATCCATTTGGTCAATCGTTCTTAAAGTATTTGCAGCTTGAAATCTGAACTGAAAACTACGGAAGCCCTGGAGTGCCACTACTGAAAAATATTTTATCTGGCGGCCGCCACTTAATTATATGGCGGCCGCCACTTAATTATATGGCGGCCGCCAGATATTTAAGTGGCATCCGCCAGATAAAATATTTTGACATACCCATTGGAACTAACTGCGCCCCTCTGTTGACCGGCTTGTTTTTGTTTTCGAGACTGTCTCAAAAATCTTGCAGTTTTTTTTTTTTTTTTTGTATTTTTGAAAGCATAATCATGATTTCAAGAGTTGAAAGCATAGTACTTTGTACTGTTTCCAAAGAGAGAAAGAAGAAGACATTTATAGGTAAGAAAAGATGGAGAAAAGAACAGAGAAAAAAGGTGCCAAAATAATAATAAAGATTCCTTATTCATAGTAGATCTAATTATATTATGATAAAAATCTTTCATACGTGCATTAAATATAAAACACATCCGGGTCTAGGCAAGGCTAGCTACACGGCTTTTATCTTTTAATTATGTGTTTCTAATAATCTTTCCTGTTTATTCCTTTCCACTTTCAATTTCGAGAGATCATTTTCACCTTTGCCAAACAACTAGTGAGTGGTATACAGATCTTTAATAAGGTTCTTTAGGGTAGCAATGGACAATGTGGTTTGTATATTTCTGGCCTTGTATATATAGAGTTTCAAGATTAGAATTATCAATTCATCCACGCTGTTTTTTACCACATAAACCAAAGATAATGAATTCGTAAATTTCTTAAATGGTCGCAAAAATGGTTAGTTATTTTTTTTATCCGATCAATCATTCATTTGACAAACTCATATTTTATTCTCATAACCTTTACCTTCAACAGACCCACAATAATCACGGTAAAAATAAATTTACTGTGCTTATATGAATATATCAGTCATTACATAATGTATTGTTAGCGCAGTCATGGTAACATGAAAGTCCAACTCGATATTAGCCAAGAATTCTTGTTTTTCAACAGAAAAAAAATTATCGAAAATGCCTATTGCCTTTAACATACATTCTCAAGCCAGTAGCAGTTAAAGAAGGGCAACGACAGATCCGATGATACCCCGAACACGTAGCAGTTAAAGAAGGGCAACGACAGATCCGATGATACCCCGAACACGTAGCAGTTAAAGAAGGGCAACGACAGATCCGATGATACCGAGAACACCACTATTTGTGTAAGCGATACATTCAAAGTAAACGTTTCAATCTAATACTACGTTATATCAGAGACGTATATATCACATATATATATTCGGGAAAGGCGTCGACACGCTCTCGCCATCATGCACATGTCCGGTCATGCCCTATCCTGGCATCCGTGTCATCCATGAAGTTAGAAAGCCAATGAACACGTGAGTAAACTGACAAGGTAATAGTCCATTTGCATAAACCGCCATATAAATAAGGGGCGATAATCCGAAGAGTAGTAGTCACGTGACACCCGACATTCCAATCGTGTATCCAGTGTAAACAAATCCGGTCGGAATTCTAACCTATGAAAAATGTCGATATCCCGATTTAGTTCACTGAAAGTACCAGAGTTAAAAGAGTATTTGTCTAGGAGAGGTATATCTGTCACTGGAATTTTAAAGAATAAGCTTGTTAACCTGTGTGAAGCCGTAGAAACACTCAATTTACCGCTGGACCCAGACTGTCTATCGTGCAAAGACGACTCTACGGTTACATTAGATAAAATTCGGTCTGTAGGTTGTCCGTTCGACAATCCGTTTACAGCACCAGGTTATACCTCAGATTTTTCGAATATACCAGATTTTTCTTTGTATGACTTGTTTAACTACCTCATCAACAGCAAGACAGATTATGACAAAAAGAAACTCAAAGCATACAAATCTTGTGACGATTACAGACTCTTTATTGACGGTCACATTGAAGAACTGTTGTTCAATGAGCTGAAGTCATATCCAGTTTGTCTGTTTAAAGCTAAATGTAAACCAACACAGAGAGAAGTGACTTACCTCAATAAAAAACACTATGATCTTTGGATTCTGATTGAAAAAGAACATAGTGAGGTCAAAGCAGCATACTGTACATGTACAGGAGGGTAAGCTTACAATTAGTCAACAAGATTCAGATAATAAAAAATAATTTTGTTCTATGACCTGCTCTCGTCTTATTCAAACTTCACTTCTATTTCTATTTCAATTCTATTTGAAATAGCATCCAAGGTGGTAAAACTACATATAAACTTTCAGAAGCTGTCATCAGTGAACGTTTATATACATTTTTTACGGCAAAGAAAATACACATATACAGTCACTGTATTACAGACAATACATCTGTATTTAAATCAATGGTGAAAATTCAACAAATACATTGGCAAAACAATGCATGAATCTCAGGAAAAATAATATAAATTGATATATACATTGTGTGTAAAGCTAAATTTTCTGCTGAAAACCAATTTATCTCCCTGGCCAATATCATTTCCAATACAACTGATCAATAGTTGGTACTGATCTTGATAAAAAAATATACTTTATTACATGCTTACAGGGCAGATGGAGCATGCCGACATGTTTCTGCTGCATTATATGAGTTAGAAAACTTTGAGCAGAAGTCTGTAACTGATGGTGAAAACCAGTGGGCAAAAAGGCCTCACCTTCATGATAATCCTGTACCGGTTAAAAAGCTGAAAGTGGTAAAGGCCAAGTGAGTGTATTCAACAAATCAAAGTACTGAAAGTACTGGTATGCTAAGACCATTAAAAAATAAATTCTTTGTTATTAGCTTGCTATATACTGAAACCAACTATATGCAATCAATAAATCATTGCAGCCCATAAAAAATGACCAGCAGATATCAGAAATAACAAGCATAGTAGTATTACTTATGTAATACATGTCCCAAGTAGGCTCCAAGATGCAATGATAGGGAAGTTGTCCATTTCTTTGGATACATTGTAGGGAATGTTGATCATGGACACCATATTATCACTTTAAAGACTGTGTATCCTATTGGTTTAAGACCATTAGTTAGACCATCATGCAAATAACATGCTACATACAAATATTGGACAGCTTCATTTTCCAGATTGTTTGTAAAAGACTGCATAAGAGTGCCAATTTTCTAAAACAAACATGACTTGTCACCATAACTTAAAATAGAAGATGCCTATTCTTCCAGAAAACCTGGTCTTATTCTCCTTGTACTTTTTCTGGGAATCTTCAAGTAGATATTGACTTTGTTCCAATTTTTCATGTTTATATATTCTTTGTTCTCTAAAACTTGTCACAAGATATTTTATTCCTCTTGTATTATCATTTTTTTTAACATCCTTACAGTGACCTTGAACCTTGAAATTTACAAGATGTGAATATCTTTTAGGTTGTGAAATTTGATAGAAAAACGAGGGTAATACAATGGAAAAACACCCCCATGCAACTATCCGTTTT